ATCTATCTATCTGTCTATCTATCTCTCTCTATCTATCTCACTATCTTGTCCTGTTCGAATACACCTGTTGATTCCCTTCTGAACTCAAACCGATTAGCGAACAGGCCATTTTGCGGCAAAGTTAAGTTTCGAAACGTGTACATTATCGTTATCGTGGCGCTACGTACAATTGCGAGGGCGTCGCGTTGGCGATCCACAACTAATCAAGAATGGCATCGGGACGTACGTACTGAGTTGTCCTGAGAATAAATGGCTTTATCATCACAAGTACTTCCCGGTCGCGATATACCGTAAGAAAAAAATTGAAATTTACTTGTTGTCGTCAATCCATTGATGTTTTAAAAGATATATAATTCAAAATAATTCATTTTAATATACGTGTATAAATATTGTACACCTAAATTTTTACATATTAATTTTTAATATACGCATACACATGCCTAGACCTATGAAATAAAACTGAAAATAAAATTTTTACAACAACGTTTATATTATTATTATCTGTATTTACGAATATGTATTTATTTACAGAGAAAAACGGCTAAAAATCTTACAAAGAGAGAAACTACTTTTCGATTCTCAGAATAATTTTTGAACGCGAAGATACTCGAATGTCAAGCGAGACACGTTTTACACGAGTGCGGAATTAAACTTCGATGTAATAGGAGAGCGTGTATCGTAATGGTGTAAATTTGGAATCGGGGTTCACGAACCTCTAGGCAAGTCTAAATATTTGGAACCGTCGACTCGCGTAAACGTCCGCTATTCGACGAAAACGGCCAGCGCGGCCGCACTTAACTCTTTTGAGCAAGTATATGTCAAACCATGAGGAAGGAGAGGCTTCGCATGTACTTACACTTCATGTACTTCTACTCGCCGCACTACATCTTTAACGCGGCGATTATGCCAGTCGGCTTTCTTAAACAAAACCATGTGCCACATGGTTTAGTACTTCTTCTGCGGAAGTGCGTATATAATTTTAAACAAGATTATACATCAAAAGCCATAAATTTTCTCTGATTTATTGACGCTGAATACGGTTGATTACAAATAAAATAATATAACATAATCCTTAAATAGTACGACAAATTTCAGAAGCATGTTCTTCCGCGATAACAGATAATTTTCTCGAAAGAGAGAAAATAATTTATTGACACTTTGATATAAGGGTTCTTTTTTTCTGATAAAGAAGAAGATATCAAAGAAAACCTTGACCATTCCGACACTTAGCCTAATCTATGACTTGACACTAGTTTATGACCTAACATAAATGTTACCCCGCACGACCTCTATTTTACTGTATTCTGCTATCTGAGTTAAATCATCTCCAATTAATCTCAATTTCCTACAAACAACTTCTAATAACAAAAAAGAATTATAAATCCTAAACTCGTAATCTTCTTATTTAAAAGTATCGACTAAAACAGGTCTCAAATTGTTAACTTTACTTTAAAAAATAGTGAATGTGGATTTAACAGCATGGATTTTAAACCATATGGAATTAAATCAATAGTCATATTTCTTAGGACATCAAAAAGGTGTTAGTCTTCTTATACTTTTCTTCAAAAAAGAATCAATTTTCAAAGGAGTCTTGCATTAAGATAACAATTACTTTTCACAATCAGTTGTATCGCGTAAGAGATAACGTTCAATTACTCAGGTACTTGTTGGAATGAGATGCATATCATCTATTCCGCAAAATCAGAGCATTCTCGTGAGAGACGTCTGCCTTCTCGGCGAAGTCGACTGTATCGCGACGCACAAACGAGGTATAATTCCCGGCGGATCGCCCTCTTGCGCGCGTAATCGCGGAATTATGTCACGGCGTAGCTGCAAGATTCCTCTTCGGCGGGCTGGTGCTGATTACGTCATGTCGTCGATGCGTGGAAACAGGGAGAATGCCGCCTGCGTTACATATTTGGTAGGATATCGTTACACACCGAGGTCGAATGTATAAGACGCATCTCGCGAGACATCGTAATTATGACAGATGTTGGCAAAATTCCGAAGTAAGAGACGGGAGACATTACAGTCGGCTTTCGCATATCTAAAAATGAAAATACTGAAAAAAGCTTTGCTTAACAATCTTTTGTATATTATTGTATTTTTTTTATATTATTTCGCTGAAAAATGCTCTTTTTAATGATGAAAAAAAAGGTAGAAGAAGAAGAAGAAGAAGAAGGCATACGGAATCAACTTGCCTGCGTTCGTCGAGATTGCCAGGAGGAATTGCGATAAGCCGTCGTACGCATTTAAGTTAATTGCATGAATTACGCTAACGGCGCGATATTGATATTACGGAATAATACCTGCACGTGGACAGCTTCGCCAAGTAGCAACGCGAATTTAGACATATTTGACATTTTCGTGCGCCATTCCTTAAAGATAATTTATCTTTTAAGACTCGTAAAAAATTTAATTACTGCTGCTGCATTACATTATGATAAATTAGAACTTTTATTTAACTCATATCTTGTATTTGGAGATATATATATGTATAGTTCAAGCGATTATTTGAAAAGAGATAAATATTTTTAATTGTATCAAGATGCTAAAAAAAAAAGAATATGAAACTGTTAGGAATTATTTTTAGATAATTACTGTATTTTTAAATAATTACATAATTAAATGAAATAAAACAAAATGCTAACACATTATTTGATTGTTGAAATATATTATACTTTTAAAAGCGTTATATCAAAATAAAGATATTTTTTATCTCAGACAAATAAGCAGATTACAGCGCGAAAGTTATACATAATCAAAAATGTAAATGTCACATTGACCTACTTCCCCCAATTTACTTTATATTTAATTTAACGAAATGAGTTTAATGAATATACTTTCTCCACTTTATGAAAACTTTTAATCAACGATGGAGAAGAAATTGCTTTCGTCATTTATATTCTTATGTAAAACTATAGATCTACTCTTTTACGATATTTAAGTAAAACGACATTGTCCTTCGCAGTAGCGTAATAGTGACATTGAGATTATACAGCAACGATTATATCATTGCATAAGTAAATAGCCTTGAGATACGACAAAGCTTTTAAGCTTAAGAGTCTCTCAAAGTCTTTTCTATTTGTCACTTTGTAAGCATATTTATCATTATATAAATTTCTTCAATAAATTAAAATTACATCGTAAATAATACCCTTTCAATGAAAACCGTATGATTTATAATCCAGAGAATTTTCGCATTACTTTTGGAATTCTTTACGTCTTTTTCATATGTTTATTTTTATTGAAGTTATTTCCAATTTGAAGAAAAATAGTCCTTGAATTATTTTAGCCTATGTTCTTCAATTGCTTTTTACTCCTCAAGCACGATAATCTTCGAGTCTTATAAAAAAATATATACCCGCTGCTTCTGCTGCGCGCATCATATTTTGAGAAAAACTATAAAGCGTCATAAGCTGCGGAACTAAAATGAGGCATGTGCAGCAAGATAAGCAAGAAAATGGGCAAGAGAAAAGAATAACGAGGAATGATACCCGGACGGTGTGCCTTGAGAGCCTGCTCGGTCCCGGAGTGCGTCGTTGACACAAGCAGAACTTTCATCTACAAGGCAAATGTGTGGAAGCACGATTCCGTTTTCGTTCTCTTCCACGTTATTCAAATAGAGCGCGGCCTTCGTGATGCAATGGCGTAGTCGTGGATTATACACTTATTCTATTAATTAGTTAATATTTGTTAACTTTTATATCGGAAAATTTGTTAATATATATATAATTAAGTTTCTTACAAAACAGAAAAAATTAGTTTTCAATTAAGCAAAAAATTATTGAATTATATCAAATAATGTTGGCAAAAAAACAAGTATATTCTTAAAATAATCATTATAAATATTCATAATCATTTTTGTTTCACAATTTTAAAAGAATAGTTTCTGTTAAAAACTATTCTTTTTAGGTTATGATGATTTTGATTTTTATAAAGTTAAGTTCATTTTTGATAATTGATAAGATAATGTTTATTTAATTCATTCATGACAATAACTTGAAAAATCACATTTTTTTTATTTTGCTCGAATTTTCGCACATTAAACAATTTTTCTAATTAAAAATGATATGAACATTACATTATATTATAACCAATAAGATTATTTTCTAATCTAATTCTAAAAAAATTATTATTTTATATATGATCTATTAAATATATGAACATTTTTCTATCAAATAATTAATCATTTCGTTAAAAAATAATTTTTTTATGAATTAATCAGCTGCATATATTTTCATAATTGCATTATTGTTCAAGAGCGAAATCATTTTATTAATTAAACAGGTATTATAGCTTCACAAAGTTTAAGATTTAAAAAAGAAATTCATCAAGAAGTAAATAAGGACCGCAAAATTAAAATTAAATTATAATGTTCATGTTTATATCGAAGAAAATAAGAAAATATAACAAATGTCCTTAATATTATATTATTTTCTCAGTTTATGGTCAATTTTATTTATAAGCTTACGCCACTGATCGCAATCAATGTGCTTTTCCTCTGTGCTCTTCTCTATCCTCGATTCGGATTTTTTAACGATATAACAAAACCGTTTTTAATCAATTTTATCGCTGTCTTCACAATGAGATCCGTCCTATTTTTAGATTTTTTTATTTCCATTCTAGATAAATTTAATTTATCAAGTTACGTAATATACGTTTTCTGTTAGTGCGTAGAACGTACATATTTCTCAATTATCGCTGCAACGTTCGAAATTAATAAAGTGGTGTTTTTAAGCGTGAAATTAGAAATATTAAACTTTGCGGGAGCTTTCTTCTAAGAGTTTTTTATTTTTCGAGTGTTTTCAGGATAAATAAAATTTCCTGCTTGGATTTGGTCACGATCGGCTTATGAGTTAAACCGCTTATTGATGAAATTCAGTGGCATTTAAGTCGGTTTAAAACCTCATCGAAATCGATCCCGACAGAAAAGACACGTCTACGTATCGAACTCTACAAAAGTCCTCCTAATAGATGATATTTACAATGTGTTACAGATCTGCAGAGACTCGTACAAATGCAATTGTAAGGGAATAAAAGGGCAGCCAGGATTTCCTGGAATACCTGGGCCTCAAGGACCGGAAGGACTCCCAGGTGATATCGGACCCGACGGACCTCCCGGACCCAAAGGCGAGAAAGGAGCAGCAGGAGAATATGGAGCCACCGGAGAGAAGGGCTACCGAGTAAGAAAAATTGATTTGATTTTATTATTGACCCTTCATCACTTACATGAGATGTCTAGGAAACTTCAGCTTTATAAATTGGCTTAATTTGTGAATGCTATTTATACATTATATTTATCATTTAATTACGTAACAGTATTATCACATAATGCGAAAAGATGAGCCTTTTAGTTAGAATAAATCCAACATTAGCGATGCAAAATAAAAGACAAAATTCTAATTCACGGTGTAGAACTTGAAACTATTTGCTAAAAGTATTGACATATAACCCGCTTCATTTCATATTTCCATATCGGAAGATTTAAGTAAACCGTTACCTACAACTTTTCTTAAAAATTTACTCGTTTTTTTGAGGAAGTTTGTTTTTCCTGTAATTGATATTTTTAGGAACTTTAAAATATGAAATATTAAATTCAATCTGATATTTGTCAAGCAAGATATTTATTAATTTTATGTAAGATATTTTTGACACAATGCGAATTTATTTACATAAAACTTCTGCAACAATTTATTTTATTAATTATTTTACAAAAATTACTTCCCTTATGTACTTTTATTGCAATAATTATATGTATATATTTTGCATATATCCAATTATATATGCAATTGTCAATTAAATCAATTGCAATGATAATTAGTTTCTTTATAAGCAAGTGTTTTACATTTTAATTAAAGTTCGCGACTCGTGTTTGTTTGCAAACGCGATAACCGTTACTATTTTAATAAAATAATATTTAGTTTTTTTTAAATAAATACTGACGTTTATTTCCGCAAAATATCTGTTTTAATAGATTTTAATTAATATATATAACAGCAAGTACAAAAACGATAAAAATAGGTGTTGTTTTGCTAAGTTCTTCAAAAACCAAATTTTAATTTGTTAAGTAAGAGAACAATCACTCAGATTCTCTGAATCAAAATAAGATCGCCACAAACAAATATGTAAGTTGTGCACTGCAAAAAACATATTGATAAGAGAGGTGACGTCAAATTAAGCTTAAAAAAAATTACTTCTTCATTCTTAACATTTGTAATCGTTTTCATAGGATTTAATTTCTTTTGAAACAAATATCGTATGTTAATTTAGAGAAACTATTGGATCGTATAATTGTTTATCTCTCAGCACTTAAAAGTTGTCAATAACAGAGCCTTATTCCGAACCACTTTAGTATCAGAAATGAAAAGTTGTAAATTTGTCTTTTTAAAGATATTAAAAATATTTTACTTAAAATATTTCTAAATAAAAATATTTATAGTGGTGGCAAAATTTCCTTCGCACAAAAGCATCTTATTGCTGCAGTGACTCTGGGAATAAATTACAGATTACTCCGCCCAATATTCTCTTCAGAAATCACAAATGTTAAATAATGAGTTAAATTCGTAAATCGGAACGGCAATACCGAGCATCTCTGAAACTACGTATGCGATCATTAGAGAGATTAAAAAAAGAAGCATCTCTCCATAATTGGGTCGTCTTAAGCAAAAGGGTTGAAAAAAAGAAACGCACGATGAGAACAGCAGACGTATATTCGTCGCATTCTCGATTCTCTCTATTCGAACGTGATTGTCCGCCACGCTACATATGCTCGATACGGGACAGAAAATAAGGAAAAAACCGACAGAAAAAGAACGAGGAGGAAAGAAACGTCGTGGCGTCACCGACCAGAAACAGAACGCTTCCAAATGCAGAGGAAGAGGGAAGATCGTGAACACGAGAGAGGAATTACGGACGGACGAACACCCACGATGCCGCCCGCACTACCAACGTGCTGTTACACAAAGCCTGCAAATCCGCTGTTTCGCAATTTGTCAACCGGCATCGATGCGCGACACCGTGCAATATGATATAACACGAGATGAGCTCTGCTACTTTGAAATGACACGCAAATCGCCGGCGATTATGATTTCCTAAATTCGAGAGATTACGCGCTGCATTTCAAATATTTTGACAAATCGCGCATAGAAATATATTCCTCGCTTAATTAATCCTCATTTAATCGTAATTTGTTACAATACTTGTTGCAAAATAAATTTAGTTGATCATAAATTTGTGCAGTAGAATTTTAAAATAATATTTACGTAACTTAGAAGCAATGTAGAGCTGAATTTGAAGTTTAATTAAAACTTTTAATTAACATTAAATTAAATATTTAATTAGAAATCCTAGATTCTCTGCTTTAAAATCAATTGCAAATTCCGAACACATTCGCCTTACATTCATCAGTATTCTAGCTATATTCCAATTCTGTGAAAGAAGCGATGATTACAAAAGACAAACGGACAATACCAACTTCGTGAATTAAGATTGCAGAAATTTGTACTTAGAATTATAAAATTAAATCACGCAACCGTACTATTATCGCGTCGTTACACAGAATGTAGAACGATTTAGCGTCGCAATTACCGAAATGTCACGAATAAATAAAATGTTATGGCTGCGCTCGATATGAGAAAAGTGTTGGTATACGTACAAACGTGGCCGACACATCTCGTGCTTATTAATCGCGCAAATTATTCATTCGCGTGCGGACTGCGAAATAGGACGGTGTCAATCTTCGTAACTGAAACTTGAAATTAAATGCTTTACATGACGATTATAATTTGACATCTTACACGTGCACACATACCCCTTATAATTACTTACATATTCAATTAGTTTTACTGATTGAAACTGATAAATATGCAAGACACTTCATAAATAAATAAATCATTTCAAAAAGGCATATTTATGATTTGACTAATCTAAAGTAGAATTTTTACTATATATAATAATATTATTTAATATTAAAAAATGACAAAATTTTGTTTATATACATATATATAAAGTTTCTTAAACAAATTTTACATATATATAGTGTATTATTTCATTATTGAGTCATTATTGAGTCATCATTTGGGGATACAAGCTGTATTTTATTTTTATAATTATAAAGCAGTTTTATCTTTTTCTTTCACTTATCTTTCTTCATGAAGATTCGTTCTTTATCGTTTCAAAGTTTAACCAAGAAAAATGTCTTCATAAAGAAACGTTAACACTAGACTTTCCAATGATTTATTTCCTATCATGGACGATACGTTTCGTAATCATCTAACTGGAATTGACGAAGAAATTTCAAGAAAAATAACATCGATAACCGGAAGAGGCTTGTCATGTCTTTTTGATACGTCACGAACAGTCCGCTTTCAGAAAACTTTCGATCGGCGCAGACAGGAAATGCCACCTCCGTCGTAAATCCAAATTATGCAAGAACGAAAATTCTGGTTATTACTACGGATCGATGTGTTACCACGTGTGCCACAATTCGCCAATTACAACGGTGCACGGCGTGTCACACATTCTCAATTAGCGACGTACATCACTTGCTAATTGTATTACATCGATCGTTCCACCGCGGTATGTGTCAATAATGTCTTGCATCTTTGCTAAAGCCTGTAATAATAATCTTCATAAAAGTTACGAAAATCTGAATTATACATTTTCGCTTCAGGAAAATTCTAACTTAAAAATCACTTCTACGTAGGAAGACTCAGAAAGTTATTAGGTGTTGGAATTAATTCGTAGCGTTTTTTAATGAAAGAATGTTATTTATTTCACATGAGCATTAAAAAATACATTAATGAAAGTACTTCCCATCACTTGTAAAACGCTACGAATTAATTCCAACACCTAATACAAAATAAACTACTTATATTGTATTTGAATAGAAAGAAGCGCGAGAGATTGTATGCTTTATATATCTTTATCCATTTTTTTTACAATTAATGGGATTACAAGTATAAGAAAAATGTAAAGTGGATAATGTCAAAGTTCACATTTTGGACTGAAGGCAATATGAAGATATAACTTATAAAATACAAATAAGTGAGTAAAATCAGGTTTGATCAAACCCAATCTTGCTGTTTAATTATATATTTGCGTAAATCTTAATTTCAAATTTACGCAAAATATTATTAAACGTCAAGACTCGTTTTAAGCAAATATGACTTTCTTTTTTGCGTTGAACATTTCTCGGTCGATTTTTATTTAAAATTGTTTATAAAGTTTCTTTTATTCAAAAAAATATTTTTCTTACTTCAAGACAGTTCTTATTTAAATTGCATTTTATAAATTATTGACTTATTTTTTTACTTGTGTGTCAAAGTTTCGAATTTGATAAACAGATAAAAATCGATGGACCGTAGGAACAGTGAGAATCAGGTCGTCGAGAAGAGACCAGTCTGCAGAAAGGAAGAGAGAGCAAAGAGCGAGCTTATCGCCTGGCAATGCGAAGGGGCCATTTAAAAGGCGTGAGGCATGACGAATTACACATTCTGTCGCCGTAATGAACGGCCGTCGATTTGGGAACGCGTTCTCTCCTTCATCATCATCTTTTTCTTCTTTTTCTTATTCCTCTTCCTTACCGCGGTAAGTCTTCTCTGCTGCTTCCTCGTTACTCCTTTTTTCGCGCCTCGACATGTACGTACACGCGGATTACATCAGGCGTGTCTCTCGTTTCTGGAAGGTAAAATGACGTCACGATCTTTTCTGGCTGGCCAAAGAGAAGAGATACAGCCGCATGCACAGGTACGATCTCTTGTACCTACTGGCGAGCTGCAATCGTATCGGTCAGCACTGTCGAGTTGATTTACGAGGTTCTCGCGGAATTTTTGTTTAAAGATATAAAAAAAAAGAAAGCGTCGCCTCTCCTTTCTCTTCTCTTCCTCGGCATCTTTGGATTTATCGGACTTCCTGAGATTTTTAATGTTCTCGCCTATATCGGGATCTACTCCTCGTCTTTAAGCCACTTTGTCGTAAGACGAGGACATTGATGGACTCGGGGATTAGAAGGGATTCCCCGTAGGTTTAAGGAGATTGCAGTTCGAGATCGTACGTGCGATCGGGGAATTTCGGTGGAGAGTTTCCCTGAGACGAGCCAAAGTGGCGATTGTATCTTATTTCAAACTCTCTCGGCGAGAGAAAGGATTCAGGAAGATAAAATTATATCGTGACGAAAATTATA